GTGGGCGGGCAATATGCTAATGTTTCATGTTGACCTCAACATGAAACGGCTTGGGATTCGTTTTAAAAACGACTCGTTTCAATGATTCAGAGTCTACTTTTTCTTTTAAGAGACAATAACTTTATACACGATGCACTTTCAGATTTAAGAGGTTTTAAATCACTTAGAGCTGTGTTACACACTGCATGAAAGGTAATTTTCAAAAATCCATAATAGGGGAACTTTAAAATACTTTTTTTCAGTTTGTATTTTATCATGACTGAAGCCATCAATAGTTTCTCTTTGAGATCATCCTTTTTTGAAGCTGCACTCATAATGTTGTGCTGTTCAGGTGTTTGGGTTCAGCTTGGATGATTCAGACATGGCAGCGCTGAGTTTGCTTCATGATGGGAGACATGTGAGCTGGGACCCAACTCATGTGGAATGACCAAATCTCCAAGAAAACCACCTGTTCAGGTGAGCTTGGAAAGCGGCCAGAGGCTCAGTCGCTCTAGTTTGTGATTTAAAACAAAATGATCAAAAATGGTATTATATCCAAAAGTAATTATGTACGGGATATTGACAGGTTACAGTATGAAGGATGATCTCAAAGACAATTTTAAACTACCAGTTTCAGTGTTTAAGTTGCAGGTTTTTTTAAATTTAATTTTTCAGCTTCTTAATTACTTCACAGGTTTTTGGATTCACACTAACAGCAGAAGACATGGACCGAATTAATGGTTTACACACCAATCAGAAGCTGATTCATCTCACTTATCCAATCTGGAAAGGATAACCTAGCAATCAAAATCCTAGAGGTTTGTTATTAGAATAGTGACAGGTCCTGAACTCACTGAAAGGAAAGCTTAAGAAAATGAAATCAAGGGAATCAGTGATTTGCATGCTGCTGATGTCACACATGTGCCTTTTGGAAACTGGTATTCAGTGGTGTTGAAAGTCTAATATTTGTTATGGTCTTATAGTAACAATTAGTAGGGAGAGCAATTTTGTGTACAAACTAACTGCTAGTTACACTTCATATCCTCAAACATCAGACGTGATGGACAAGCTTACCAGTGACAGAAACACAGGTAAACACAATCAAGTTGACATTTAATGGACGTTATATTAACTTATGACATGTTCTCATTTCCCCTATGAATTGTTTTCTATTATGCTGACGTGTCAAATTGTTGGTTAAAGCAGAAACGGCTCTGTATGTTTCGAGTTTCTCAGAAACTGCACTGGTGAAACTGAAATAAATCGCAAGAACTGGAGCCAGCACACATCTTTATAGCTGTTACCAATATTGTTTATTCCATCCCTCTCATTTAGAATCATTGTTGTACACAAGTTACATTTTCTTCTCAATATCACAGGTTTCTGTTAAATTATTTTTTTAAATCTTGTACTCTTAACATCCAGTTTCACCTCCCTCTCTTTTAAACAAACAAAAAAGCAGATTGTATTATACAAAAATGCAAACCAATTTTCACACAGTGAATTCTTTTACAAAGTCATTAAATGGCGTAATAATGGCTACATCCACATTGGAGTAAGATGGTTCTAAACATTCCTTAATGGAGTATAATATATATTTATATATAAAACCTTTCCTTGTTGAAATTGAGCCTGTACCTTAATTTAAGAGATTTTACAAGACAACTTGGAAGTAATCATAAAAAAGCCATTACATTTCCCAAAAAAGTTAGGAATAAATCAAAACGACAAAAAAAGACAGCCATAACAGTGTTAGAAGGTTGAAAATGAGTTAATTTGCGTTTCATTTAAATGAATTCAACAGGTCTGCTCAAAACAGACACGATCCAGTCAGAGAAATGAATATCATCCATCAGGAACAGACCCATTCTCAAAGAAAATCACATTATCCTGCAATTTCTCACTTGAGGAAAAATAACCTCGTGCACAAAACTGTAAATGAGCCTTACTGAGTCGTTTCCCTTAAATTGCTATGTGTGGATGGTTGACACTAATTTGTAAAACAAACAAAAAAAATATCCACACAGAAGTAATTAGCTCAGTGAGATCACTGATCATTAGAGGGGAAAAAAAAGTAATACAGCACCCAAGCAAGTGCCAAATATTAAATACAAGATAGCACATTCCCATACAATCCAAAGATTCAAATAAAAGCAGCATCCTGGCAGTGCATCACTCGAGAATGCTTACATTAGTACAGCTTTGGGCACTCCAAAATGAAAAAATCTCAACACACCAAGCACTGGCTAAACGTTTGCCCGTCGTAGCAGCGATTAGCGATGCGAAACAGAATGCTCGTCATGCTAGCGCTTGCGCCTAACAAGAACCAAAGAAAATCTGATGTTAGCAGTGGCAGGCGCGTGTTAGCTCAGGAAAATTTGGATAACCGCAGGGAGGAGGAAAATTCGCATTTTCAGACTCCGAAGCCAAAATCGTATAAAAGCCTTGCCATGTAACTATGCTCGGCCGCTTTCACATGTCTCTACTGATGAGACGTCAAGATTAAAACGTATCTTGCGCAATTTTAAGTGGTGTGCAATCGTTTTATTTTCCCGTTTGAATATAAAAGGGAATTCGCTGAGCACATTTTATCCTCCTGGTGTTACGTTCCTCAATTTAGAATTTTTTTAAATTTGATCATTGAGCATAATTGACAATTGGATGGGTGAGATGACACAGAACTGAGAAATATATAGTAAGTGTAGACATCCGGGAGAATCTCATGAGACCTCACAAGAACATGCCCAGGTCATATTATTATTATAGGTTGAAATCATAAATTTTCATTTTTATTTCATATATTTATATTGCATTGACACTTTCTTGAAAATAAAGTACAGTTCCTTTTTTGCCATTGTAAATGAATACCTCATAGTCATTGCATTAAATAATTTCTTGTGTAAAGCATACTATATAAAAATGCCATATTGAAGTAATGATAATGCGACGGGAATTAAGAGTTTATGAACATTTGGTGGACAAAGATGTGCTTAAACATTATTGGTCCTATACATTTTCTTTCCTTTATATTTCTTGCTGAAATGTGACCTGGACGAGTTTTTATGAATGTCACTTGAATTATTGGGCTACAAAGCAGCCTTGAACCACAGGAGAAAGTGGAACGATCTAAATTCAATCAGAAGCCAGATTCACCAGAAGGGAAGCAAGAAGCTCAGCTAAATCATACACAGCACATCTCAGATCAGGCAAAGCCTTAACTAGTTCACGGGATCTTCAACAGCATGAAATAAAAACACTACGAGAATTCAATTTCCACGTCGAGGAGAGGGAGGAGGTAACAACTTAGCATGGAGAAAGACAACATTCTGGAGAATTTGCTCAGCGAGTGCGACGGACATCACGCGATAAGTTTAAACCTCGACAGTAAGGTTGACGTCATCTCTGTGTGTCGGCACAGCTCGATTTCAATCTCGGCGACTGCTTGAAAAGGCTGCGTGTGCTCTTTGACGAGCAAGAACATCAAATAATGACCGTGACTACAAGTCATCGTAAAAAGAGAAATCAACTATATCACCACGGCTATAGCACATAAACCACAAAAGATTACACGTTAAGAGGTTGCACCCAAAATTGGAGCTGTATATCATAGTCGGTCTCAAGAGACTAGAACAAAATGTCACACGTGAAGAATGTCATCACTATAGGAAGACTTCAAATAATCTTGTTCTCTTCGTTTACGGGGCCACGTTCGGAAACAGTCGTTGAATATGTTGTGTAAAAACACATTTAGGTCAAAGCAGGCTGATGGAGGATAAACTCGACAGGCCTCGATTCATGAGACGCATTGAATATTCTGCAGAAATTCGAAATAGCCTCTGGAGAATTGATTCCAAACTAATTTTGAGTTTATAAAGAGGAAACCTATAAGACATTAAATAGCTCATCTATAATGAACACCTCTCTGGATTTTATTTAAAGGGACAGTTCTTGTCCATCTTTTTTTCTCCCCAAAATATCCATTTTGAACATCGTGAGGGCAATTGTATAAAAGCTCCCGAACAAAAACCATTATTATATTTTTAATCACATACACGGAGCTAAACTCTCGAGACGAGACTTATATGACAGATAAAATATGTTACTAAATGAATACACGATTGTGATAGAGAGTAAGAAGCTGACATCTGATTTCTTCAAGCGGTCGTATTTACCATGTTTACTATGATCAGGCCAAAAAACCCGGGCCGTTGGCCCTGAGGAAGCACTGAAGAGGCACGATCAAGCCCCGGAAGTGACAGTAGAAACGCGACTGCTCCTGGCACGCACTAGCACGCCCGCTTTTGGCCCGACAATGGAAACGCAGCTAATGTGATTCAGTGCATTATCACGATTGGGCCACAACTGAAGCCGCGCGAAATGCACGGGAAAATGCATGATGTATTACAGAGTAGTGAAGGACCAGCTGTGCAAAATGAAAATGCTCATATGAACATAACCGTACAAATTTACTGTACCTTAATTTAACAGAATTAGATATCTGCAGGTTGTTTAAAGGAAAAGCATCTGATTGTTAGGGGTTGTTCAGACAGAACACGTTCTTGCAATTAAAAATGTGAGACATTTTTTCTGTCTTCAAATCTTCTATTGCATGTCATATTTATTGAGATGGCTTATGCATCAGAAATGTGACGTAATTTCCTGCAAGGGAGCATAGATGCTCCATGGGTTTTGGCAGTGCATTGTGGGATTTTTCAGGGAGTGAAAGTTCCAGCCCCTTAAAATGGCCAACTGCCTGATCAGTTCCCTGAGTGCTGAACTAAGGAGCGGATTGAGACCCACTCTCCGTTTCTAGTCTGTCAGAAGTCTTTGAATAGCTGGTTCAGGCGTGTTTAATTAGGGTTGGAGCTAAACTCTGCAGGACAGTGGCCCTCCAGCAGCAGGTTAGGACACCCCTGGTCTAGTGCATATTTATATAGAAAAACAAGGGAAAAGTAGAGAAATAAAACGTAAAAACATTGTGTGCGAACGGCCTCTTAAAAAGCTAGTAACAAAGTCTCTTCACTCACCCCAATGCTAAAGAGAGTTCCTCCAGCTGGGCTTTACGGTCAGGCTGCCCATTCTCTGTGGCCTTCAGCTTGTATTCATGGGCCACCTGATTCTCCTTCAATCATGGAAACAGGTTCAATGAGCTTAGGGGGTTCATATGAGAATAAATAAAAACTGGTCCTGGCCAAGGAGTTTCTGGTTTCACTCACCATGGCGATTTCACGGGTTCTCTTCTTGATCTCCAGCTCTACATGATCAAGCTCCAGGCTGAGCTGTTCACTGGACACAGTGCCACCTGAAGACCACTTCACTCCAGCCGCGGGCTGAGACGCCAGCGCACACGCCTCCCTCTGCAGGAGCATAGAGTTACTGGCAGCCTGTGTGCGTACGCAAGATGTTTATTAATATTACTGACTATAGACAAGGCCATGCATTGTGAGTTGTGAATTTGGATGGAGATTTCAAACACACCTCCATGCTGCGGGTTTGCTGACTGATCTGTTGGTTGACTTGCTGGAGCTCAATCTTGAGCTGCTCGCGGTCAGGGGCAGACACGGGCAGACTGGCAAAACACAGGAAGTAATCATGTTTTGTATTCTCAAAAATGAAATCATACATTTTAAAAAGCTAGTAACAAAGTCTCTTCACTCACCCCAATGCTAAAGAGAGTTCCTCCAGCTGGGCTTTACGGTCAGGCTGCCCATTCTCTGTGGCCTTCAGCTTGTATTCATGGGCCACCTGATTCTCCTTCAATCATGGAAACAGGTTCAATGAGCTTAGGTGGTTCATATGAGAATAAATAAAAACTGGTCCTGGCCAAGGAGTTTCTGGTTTCACTCACCATGGCGATTTCACGGGTTCTCTTCTTGATCTCCAGCTCTACATGATCAAGCTCCAGGCTGAGCTGTTCACTGGACACAGTGCCACCTGAAGACCACTTCACTCCAGCCGCGGGCTGAGATGCCAGCGCACACGCCTCCCTCTGCAGGAGCATAGAGTTACTGGCAGCCTGTGTGCGTATGCAAGATGTTTATTAATATTACTGACTATAGACAAGGCCATGCATTGCGAGTTGTGAATTTGGATGGAGATTTCAAACACACCTCCATGCTGCGGGTTTGCTGACTGATCTGTTGGTTGACTTGCTGGAGCTCAATCTTGAGCTGCTCGCGGTCAGGGGCAGACACGGGCAGACTGGCAAAACACAGGAAGTAATCATGTTTTGTATTCTCAAAAATGAAATCATACATTACCTAAACCTTATTATGGGGTATTTGATTTAGTATTATGTTTTAATTTAAAAAATCTAGTATTGTCATGATTCATCTTTTATCAATGACAACATTTTCATTAAAAAAAAAACAGCATTCTCAAACATTTTTGTTAGTCATTTCATTTCTGAGATGAACACTGGTGTGGAAGTGCAAGAGGAAAGGTTAAGTACCGCTCGCTGAAGTGTCCCTGAGAGTTGATGCTCTGGTGCTGAGGGTAAGACGCTCCGCCCCATCCGCTGTGGTTTCCATATGGATAGTCTGCTTTGAGGAAAACACAATTTACCAAAAACAAAACATTTCCCCAAATGTTTAACACTATGGAAGTCTAAACATAGCAAAAATTCTGAAAAAAAATTGTGGGCAAAATTGTAAATTCTTGTTGCAAATTCTACGTGTGGAAATCTTTCACCCAAAATTCCTAAACACATAGATTCCTTTTGAAACGACTGGATTTTGCCCACAAAATTTTATATATTTTTTTTTAAATATGACTGCACCTTGAATCAGCAGCATACAGTCAGATTCAGTGTCACTTCTTGAACCAAATATACTCCAACAATTAACAATTTAAGTGATCCTGAATAAAATCATGATCTCTACTGATTATTCTTGAAGATTGGCAGAACATAATTCCTAAGGGTGGGGGAAACATTTTTTTGATTCACATACAAATCGCGATTCAGCCTTCTAGCGATTCGCATCGATTCACAAATTTCAAAAAACAATTTTCTAGTTAATATAATAATAACATTATGTTATCGGAACAAAACAGCAACAACAATGAAGGAGGAAAAACAAATACATCCTGACCCAACTTCAGTGAGGGCAAGTGTCTGGAAAAAGAAATATTATATTAATTATTCATCTTTTGTCATTATGGGAAGTAGGGATGTGCCCGAATTGTGAATCTGTATTCGGAAAGGCAGGAAAACGAACAACGCGTTCTATGGAGCCACTAAAGGGACATGGTTAGCCGCTTGCTAGCGGTTGCCTGTTACATTACAGAACTTAAAATTTCATGACTGATTGGGCGATATTTGATTTGCAGATCCTGAGCACCACTGACAAACATCTAATCTTGTAAAATGTGTGGTAAGTACTGCCGTTCTGTAGTATAACGTTACACAGAGTACGTGTGATCGCGAAATATCGAAAGTGAAAGTAAAAATTGAGCGTGCATTCAAAAGTGGTTTCAATGCCCCGCATATTAACAACAGCTCCCTGATTCCCGCAATTTATGTACAGTATAATTGCCCAATTATATAATTGCGAGAGAAATCACTGAAATGTATTTTTTCGTCCCATCTCGTATTTATTCCCTTTAGGGGTTCCGTATGTTATTTCCTTTCCAAACTCCTTTTCGGATTCAGGCACATCCCTAATGGGAAGTGAAAAATATTTTTTATTGATTAGGAAGTTAATAGTTAATAGGAAACACTGATTACTTGAGTCAGGAATACCCATACTATAGACTGGTGTGTTTTTGTATCAAAATACTGGTGTGTTTCATGTCCAGTGTGCACAAAAAATTGATAAAATAGTGAACCGTGATTAAAAATCGTGAATCGATTTTTAATCGAATCGTGACCCCAAGAATCGATATGAATCGAAAGTTACTGAAAGATTCCCACCCCTAATAATTTCTGTTTTACAACTAGGGTTGGGAAATGAGAACTGTTTTTATATTTAAATTACATCCTTTTTTTAATAAATGATGTTCTTTTTCTGTTAACACTGCATGAACCAGAGTTATTTTATTATCACTGATATATAACAACAGTTTTTGCTAATATTTTGAATTAGATTTTTTTTTTCATTTCAAATTTTAGGAATTTTGTCTTGTTTGTCTTTTTTTTATTATTTTTATACAGTATTTATTCATTTTTATTTCTTAGTTGTATTTAGTTTTAGTTATTTCAGAAAACTGTTGCCTTGGCTAGCTTAAAATAAAATATTAATAGACAACTTTTTTTTATTTATTTCACGAAACAAAAATGTTTTTATGGTTTTAGTTTTATTCCTGGCTTGAACTTCTGCACTCTTTTACCAAGGCAGGATTACTAAAACACTCCAGTAGTATTTCATGAACAAATTAAGAGCAGATTTCTAAATGAGTTAAAACAAATCACAAATGTACTCAAAAGTAAGAATTGTTAATAGCACCTTTCAGTTCCCATCCCTATATATGATGAAGTATTAGGTATTATAGAGATGTCCAGTCACCTGTCATGGTCATGTGTTTGGAGCCCGAGGCCTGTGAGGATGCTATGGCCTGTACAGGCCCAGTGGTCTGGTAACCCGTTTTAGAGGTACGTGAATTGGATTGCTGCATTTAAACTGTGAATACAGGTACAGAATGACGTGTTCGGTGTATGATACAGTAAACAGTAATAGCACGTGCAGTGGCAGCAGCGGCAGCCTCCCGTTCGGTAAGGAGTTTTAATCTGTAGGGGGCGCTGTTGGCCTAGTTATAATTAAATTAAAAGTAAAATAGCATCTTTGTTGTTATAAATAAGAACAGATGCAAAAAAAGAACAAACATAAGAAAGAAACAAGTGTAGTGTAGTACTTTCTTCATTTTACATCTAAACAAAAGCATTCAAGTAAGAAAAACAATCATATTTAAAAATCACCTTTGTGTCAAAATAATGTTCTTTTTAGCAGCATCATATGACCCCTTTAAGACCTACTGTAATGCACGGATCTAATATAATTTTACACATCTGACGTTTTTCCCCAACAGTTCCCCAAACGTTCACTTAAGACATAACTGATTATGTTTGTGTGAATACTTAAATACTGTAATTCTGTGTATGTGTATTTTATTGGGATAGAAGTGCCGTTATGTACGCACTTCAGATGTCAATCAGCATGAAAAGCAAACAGAGAAAAGGTACTCCTCTCAGAAAACGTACAAATAAAGATAATTTTGGATGTTTAATTATTATTTGGAGCATTTGAATCGCTAGACGAGGGCTTAATGAACTCGTTTTTGTGAAAAACTCAAATTTGCCTGTAGCTCAAAATTAGCCTATGTGCATTCTGACTCTTTTTTTTTTTTTTTGCCAGCATAGGTCACATATGTTAACATTAGTTAAAACAAACTAACAATGAAAAATAATTCTAAACACATATGTTAACATTAGTTAAAAACAAACTAACAATGAAAAATTATTCTAAAGCATTTATTTATTTTAGTATTGTCATTAAATGTTAACGTCAACCTTTTCTACTTCATTACTAGAATTAAAATGTATATCTGCTGACATTATTCAAAGGACCTGAGATGACGTGAACTAAAAATGAACAGTTGTAACTAGTGGTCGACTGATATATATCCAAAAGGCCGATATATCGGCCGATATTTGGCATTTTTTAAATAACATATGTTAACATTAGTTAAAACAAACTAACAATGAAAAATAATTCTAAAGCATTTATTCATTTTAGTATTGTCATTAAATGTTAACGTCAACCTTTACTACTTCATTACTAGAATAAAAATGTATATCTGCTGACATTATTCAAAGGACCTGAGATGACGTGAACTACTCATTCATTACATGAAATGAACAACCAGTCAGTAGATAGACTAATAAAAGTCTTGCCAATCTAAAATATACAATCAAAGCAATGGCTCCTGTTTCAGTTTGAATTGGCTACTAGGGATAGGCGATATGGGCTTAAAAATATATCACGATATTTCTGGTATTTATAATACTATGATTCTGTAATATGAAACCACGTCTGGTCACAAAAAAAAAAGTATTTCAAACACTCGACTATGTTATTAAGTTAATTTGGAGAAAAAGCATGTCAATAAATTATATCTTTGTTGGACAACAGGTTTGTAAACCGGCTCATACATATGCAAAACTGTATCGCACACGTGCTTCTGTAGTACATTTATTCAGACCGATTTTTTGTGCACTGTACAGCCCGAGGACATTGGGGCATAAGCTGATTTTTTAAATGTTTTTAATTATCTTAATTATTCCACACACACATAAAGATAATATGTTATTATATTGTTTTCTTGGGACCTGAAAAAATAAGTTGAAGTTACATTGTTTGTATTATAGTCATAATTATAATAAAATAGTAATTATATAGTCATAATGTGTGGAAAAATAGCAATAAATATTATACTAAACATAATACTAAAATCATGTTCATTAACAAACCTTATTTGTAAACAACAAATGTTTATAGGCATGCGTATCAAACAAGAGGAACTACTGTTTAGAATGCCAAAACCTTGAGAAGAACAGAACTCACTCCTATGTGGGACCTCATTTGGCTGGAGTGCGGTCCAGCTGTGTAGTACCCGTCCGGTGGGTATCTGTCTCTGGATGACGGTTCCTGGGAGTGGTACAGAGAACCTGCAGGACCTGCTGGAGGTGGAGGCATAGCGGCCGGGGGAACGTCCAAAGGAACCGGGCTCATCCTGACCAAGTCGTCTCTGGTCGGGGCAAACGGAGGTGGGGGTGCGGGATAGTGTCCGTGCCTGCGACTGTAATGGGAGGGCTGTGCGTATGTGTGGGCTGAGAAAGGGGGACCAGAGTGGTGGCTCGGATATTGGCGATCTGGGCCGTATCCCGGGTAGGACTCTGGGTAAGGTGGCTCACCCGGAGGAGGCGGATTACGGATGTAGCGGGGAGAGACATACTGCGGAGGTTGGTACGGGTAGGGGTTGCCTGAAAAAAAACCTAAGGTTATGAGCATTATGACATGCCAAGACTAATATTCAGTTAAAAAATGTGATGCAATAAACATTTTGATTTGAATTAACAACTGACAAAACATCGATTTAGACCATCGTGAGTTTGCATGCTGTCAAGAGTTGTTTTAATCTACTTTCACACTGCAAAGAAAATTAGCCAATTCACAAGATTTGCACTTGGTCACATGCACAGTTTTGCTGCCGTTTCTTAAAACTATGACTTGATGGCGCTCATGGACAGTCTATAGACCGGACAACTGAATACAGAAACAGCTATCTTGTCCTTGTACTTGTATTTGGTCTTGCTTGATAAACATCATAGCAAATACAAAAAGCCAAACAGCTGCTTAAAAACATTTAAATACTGTTGAAAGGGCCTGTCATCTCGGTGAAAAGCAGGTGTCAGAAACAGTGTTGGGGAAAGTTACTTTTAAAAGTAATGCATTACAATATTTCGTTACTCCATAAAAAAGTAACTAATTACGTTACTTAGTTACTTTTTATGGAAAGTAATGCGTTACTTTACTAGTTACTTGAAAAAGTAATCTGATTACGTAACTCGCGTTACTACCCCCAACACTGGTCAGAAACAGAAAGTTGCACAGATAAATTAGATACATTTCTAGTCATAATGCACAATAAATTGGAATCACGTCAGTTTTACATGGTCTTTTTTATTATTGGCTGATGTTGTATGTGTAATTGTTAAATCTTATTTCTGCTATTTTTTATACTACCTTTGTCACCATCTAATGCTCATTTAAAGTTAATCTTTAAAAATAATTTAACACAAATAAATGCAATCTTGCTCAAGCCGCAAACAGGTTTAGACAGTTCACTCCAATTGGGTGAACTGGTTTATCTAGTTCACTAACAAAAACATCTTCAAAAGAATGATTCATTCATAAACCGGACATCACTCTGGCTGAGACTATAGATTACAGGTAAAAATGTTGTAAATAATTACAGCAGTTTCTTGCACAGACTGATTGTTTCGCTTCATAAGACCTCAACATATCGTCAGGAGCCACAGGTATTAATTTTGTGTTGCTTGATAAGCTTTTTGACTCTCAAAGTGACAGTAGCCACTGACTTGCATTTTATGAATCAACAAGGACCTTTCAGCTAAAAATCTTTACTATTCTACTGAAGAAAAAAAGTCCCCTACACCTTGAATGTCCTGAGTCCTTATTCATTATGTAAATTATAATCTTGTGATGCCTGAACTCACTTTTCAGTTTTTAGCATTTTATTGCTTTATCTGTTTATTCAAACAATAAATGTGCAATTAAACTGAAAACTAAAAATAGGCCTAATTCTCCTCAACAGAAATATACAACTAAACTTCAAACTAAAGCCCTATTCAGACTGGATTAGTTCCACAAGGGTAGATGGATTAATGTTAATTTACCACAGGACGTCTGTAATATTAATGGCCAATTCGCACGGGATAAGAAATCTCAGTAAAACTACCAGAAGTGGGAGGAGTAACTCGATTTACACACCGCTGTCACCTCCGTCGTCATGTGCGTGCAACATCGATCAATTTATTAATTAAATTATGATAGGATTCTGTTTGCAATAGGCACTTACCTAAAGCTAACAGAAGTTTTGTGCCTCTAACAAGTGCTTTCGACCTTCTTTTTGATCTGAATGGTATGCATTGTCCAGTGGTGTAGTGGTGCCTGGAGAAGTGGGTATACTCTTAATTTATGCCCAAATTTTTTTTTAAGCGACCCAGCAAAGGATGAACACCCTGTGTTATAAACAGTGAAGTGTAAAACTAGTCTTGTACATTTAGTTCACCCCAAAATGGGCCAGTAGTATTTGCATATTGTCACTCTGCTGCTTGACTTCATGGAGTAAGGATCATTATGAAATCAAAATTAGCCACAGAAGAGGTGCCGATTTTGCAATAATTCAAATTTAATTTTGTTTAGTTGTCTGTTTGTAGGAGAATCATGATCTCTCTATTTGAAAAAAAAAAAATCGTGACTATCAATTTATCCAGAACCTTTTTAATATAAATAAGCACCAGTCAAGCTGCGATTTCAAACAGGACCACAGAGAGACGCCAAAAGACCACTAAACCTGCTGTCTTGACCTTACTGTACATGATACGGATCCATTCAGAATATTTAGACAAGCGCATAATCTAAAACACCTTCAGTCACTATCCAGTACAACACTCATGCTTTTAAACCAAATACACACTGAAAATATTAATTTACTGACATCTGGAGGTGTCGACTCTCCACAATCTCAGATGAAATAGGTTGGGTTTTCTCTGTATTAGAGCTGTTTTGAACTTACTGTTTGAATGCATTTGTTACTGGATCCTTGGACTGAAAGTTTACCAGTTTTTAAGATATTGTTTTCGTTCTAATGTACTGATTCAAATTAGTAATCAATAATTAACTATTATTTTACCACTCTGCGCGCCTCCCCTGACATGCCGTCACACATGAACAGGCAGCATCTCTGTCACTGTCGGCATCCTCTCTGATTGGGGTCGGAGACGGAGCGGGCGCAATCATCAAACGTATTTCAAACATATTTCCGCCACGCGGATACGCTGTTTCCGTTCAGATCAAATCACAACAACGTAGGAAACAGATCCGGCGTGACGCAGCTGACACAGAACAGCATATGTTGTTTTACGTCCAGCGGATATTCTCTAAAATGGCACCAGGGTGATGTGGAGGAGACGAATTATTGAATAAAGTCGTTATTTTTTTTCCTTCTTTTGTGCACAAAAAGTATTCTCGTAGCTTCGTATAATTGCGGATGAACCCCTGATGTCACATGGATTATTTTACAGATCTCCTTTCTACGTTTCTGGACTTGGGAACATTTAAGTTGCGTTGCGGTCTATGCAGGGTCAGAGAGCTCTCAGATTCCATCAAAAATACCTTCATTTGTGTTCCGAAGATTAACGAAGGTCTTACGGGTTTGAAACGACATACACGTTCTCCCTACTGTTTTATGTTCACTTAAGACGTATTCAACTGTTTACGTGAATACTTGTCAAAACGTGTGTAATTCTCCGTTCATGCGACACGAAAGAGTACTCGCGCGCTGTGAGACGCACTTTCTGTGTGTGTATGCTTCAGTGTCTGCGCTCAGAAAACCGGACCGAATTGAGTTCCCTCTTGCGTCGTCAGATATATCCATATGTCTGCACTTCTCATACTCCCACATATTTACATTTTTTAATGTTTTATGCGACGTGCAGCAAGTGTATGTTAGCTTATGTCCCGCTAGTTTTTGTCATTCAGAACAAGTTTTTATTTTGTTATCGTCTTGTTTTCGTCGGTGAGAAAATGCTGTTGACGAAGATTATGACGAAAATTATTCGTCAACGAAATTAACACTGCTTCTCATAGGATAAGAACACGCGGTCTCATGAATAATTTAATAGACACCGACGCGTCATCGATGTACTATAGTCCATTGCCACGTCACAAATTGTGACGTCAACACGATGTAGATTTTAAACCCGGAAGATGAAGAGCGAAAAAAAGCTTACAATTAACCACTTTTCTCCAATGTTTAAAATTATTGGATGCTAACATTGTCTTCTATGATGTGCAACACAAACACCTCTGCTAAAATCTCAGAAAAAGTAGTCTGGGGTTTCATGACCCTTTAATGCGATTGGATTAGCTATTCATGTAGTGGACTGTCATGATTTTGTGCAAAGCCGACTGATAAAGAAGTGAGTATATGCCGTATGCCTGCGTATACCCTCCACTACACCACTGGCATTGTCATATGCAGAAAACATTCAAGGTTTGCCACAGACTTGCCCCACCGCCTAGAACGCAACTTCATGCGTGGAAAAAACACGGAAAGCTACTTTTAAATAGCAAATTATGGAATATTTACGTACATATTTACAGCTGGTCTATTCGCACGGCATTAGTATTACCTGAGGTAATTCTTCCGGACCTTTTTACAGAAGGTAAAAGTCGCCGTAATCTTTACTGACATCGTCCGAAATGATTACTGAGATTGCACATTCGGACGGCGATGTACTATAGTCCATTGCCACGTCACAAATTGTGACGTCAAAACGATGTAGATTTTAAACCCGGAAGATGAAAAGAGTGAAAAAAAGCTTAAAATTAACCACTTTTCTCCAACGTTTAAAATTATTGGATGCTAACATTGTCTTCTATGATGTGCAACACAAACACCTCTGCTAAAATCTCAGAAAAAGTAGTCTGGGATTTCATGACACTTTAATGCGATTGGATTAGCTATTCATGTAGTGGACTGTCATGATTTGATTTTACCCCACCTCTCCATGTAAAACTAATCCCGTCCGAATTGGGCTTAAGACAATTATCAACTGAGACATTCAAGTTAATAATTTAGGATATACACCCTCATAGCTTCATGTTAACAAATTAGCCTAGTTTATTTCAATTTGTTGGTCGGAAGTACCCAGAATTCTTCTTTACATCTTTTTTGTAATGACCTGGACACAGTATTAAATGAAAACTTTAAATATCAATTGTGTGTGAAACTCTGAGAAACAACACTGGCATTAAATAGCTCCAAGAATCTTGAGAGCAGAGGACTTCATAATCTGTTCAGACAACCATCCATATGAGCAAATCCACTCACCTGTTGGGTACTGAGCATCATACTGAGATCCTGAGGGAGGCGGTCTGGCTGGCTCTGGATAGAAGAGCTGGGGCTGCTGTTGTGGATACATCTGTGGCGCACCTCTGGGCATGACTGGCATCTGCTTGGGCATGAGTAAGTGCTCCGCCCTGGGGTGAGGCACAGGGTGGGGTGTCAGGGCCAAGCTAGATTTATCCAAACTTAAGAAAAACAAGAGGAAGAAATGAGTCAGTGGTAACATGTTGTTCCTTCCTGTTAAATCCAAACCTACTAAGCACAACTTCTCACTATCTCAGCACTTTTGCTGTTGCTCTTACAGTTTAAAGAATTCAGATACTGTAGTTAATACAGAAAAGCAAGGAACGAGAAGTCAAACTGAGAAACAGGCTTACGAGTCGGGTGGCGACCCAGGAGCACTCAGGCTAGTGGCGTCCATCTTGGGCTTGAGTAAGAGGTCATATGTGGAGGGGTCTGTGCCTCTGGGGATGAGCTGGGGAAGAGGGCCCCCGTTTGTAAACGTAGAGGCCTTTCGCCCAGGCTCCAGCGGGACCTCCTCCTCAGGCAGCAGGCCAGGGGTGCAGGGCACTCGTGCAGCAAGACGTTTGTTCATTTTACGGTACCTGCAGAGTGAACACCAAATGAGATTCTGATTATTAAACAAGTTTGTGGTTTAACACTAACCAGACATGCAACGGCGCTCACTTTTCCAGCTCCTCCTGAGAATGGGCGAAGGTGCAGCTGGCTCCTCTAGGACAGCCTCCTTTCTGCTTCATATCTCTGCACATGTACGTCTTGTATTTGCTGTGCTGTGGTGGCTGCTGCGTGTCGGCACCCTTCTTGCTGTGGTTCTGGATGAAGTCCACTAGGCCGTGCACCACCGTCTTTACCGCCACCAGTCCCTTCTCCAGCTGCTCCCAGGTAGGAGGAGGAGCATCTGAATAAAGATGAATCAAAGCAAAACTGATCACAGAACAGAACAGGAGCATGTTACTAATTCACTCTAGGGGTGGGTGCCATGACCTTAAACTTTAAATTACAGTGGGAGTAATTTCATACAAATTTATTTTCACAGTATATATCAGAATATAGTTATTTTTAAATTCACACTAAAAGCACCGCACATATTCTACATTTTTTTATATTATTATTATTGCATTATTAATAAAACATTTTTTTATGTTTTCGAAAGAAGTCTCTTATGCTCAACAAAGCTGAATTTATTTAATCCAATATACATACAGTAGTTGGGTTTCCATCCAAAGTTGCGAATTTAACTTATGCGCAAAATTCAAATATCGCATAAAACATTTGCAAATAAACACCGTTTTCATCCGAGTCAAAGAGAACAAAATCGTCACTTCCTGGTAGAACTGGCGCTAGGCTATGTATCACTATGAAAAGTAGAAGAAACCCCTGAATATAATCATTTTCATAGGCCTATATAATAAATTACTTGAGCCTCAGAGCGAGCAGACGAAACAAAATAAATGCGGTCATTGCTTTCGGAGGTGGATGCTGCTGATTGGGAATGCAGTTGTGTAACAGTTAGTGGTTAAACGGATCGTAGTTGATCCGTGATCCGTACGGGCCAAGCCCGACGGTTCGGCACGCATGTGATCCGCGGATTAATTGCAAAATTTAACCATAATAGATAACATAATAGAGTATAAGTTTATCATTTGTTAGTATTTACACAAGCAAGCAAATTTTAAACAATTCCAGAGAGAAAAGGCGAAAGGGAACTCAATTAGTTACTCGCGCACACACGCGTTTCAGACGGCGCGAGAACACCGAACTGAATCCTCTTCTGAATCCTCTGAACAGACACATACACATAAAATTATGACAAAATACCCATTTCGACAATCATTCAGGTAAATGCAGTCAGTTATGTCTCAAGTGACTGAAAACAGCTGAGAAAGAAATCGGATGTGATGTGTATCATTATATCGGATCCGTGCATCAGGTCTTAAAGGGACAGCGGCCTATAAATACTGCTGCTGTCATTAATGATCACCAAACAACAAAACAGCTGTGATAAAAATCTATATTTAATTTATACAGTGAACACTATGCAGTGTTATTTTCCACAATTATTACATTTCTGTATTTGAATACTACCAACCTTTAATTTGTAACATTCTGTTGTATTTATCTATGCTTGTAATTTGTGTATTTGTTCTTATTTTTACTGGCTGTCCTCTTGTCTTTTAATCATGTTTAAACTTTCTTAGTTAATCTAGTAGTATTTGCTGTGGTATCAAAGAAGTACTTCGCTTTAAGTAATAAATGGAAAGCAAGTTAAATTGAAATATTTTTATTTTCTTGCTGATCAGAGCAAGAAATCCGTGGGTCAAAAACCGTAATTTATAGTGTAGGGGGCGGGTGCTTCGGATTCTAGAGAGCATTTGATTGGACAGAAAGTTTGATGAGAAGTTGAAGTACGATGTGACGTCAAAAAAATCATTGAGCCGTTTTGGCGGAAGTGACGAACTGCATGCTTTGAATGCTTATATCTTCTAAATGCGAATTGTCACTGTTTTGGAGCACATTGCCTTATAGATAACCTTAAGACTAACATATTGATACTAACACCCAAAAAACTTAAATTTTGATTTCATGGGGACTTTAACCCTTTTTCGCACAAGTCAAAAACCACCTCAAGCGAGCGTAAAAACTTTTTTGCGAATTAAGGGATTTTTATTCTAAATTTGCGGTTTCCATCACTGGTTTCTGATGCGATACTTCAAAATGCGCATAAAAACAGGGTGATGGAAACATAGCTAGTAAAAACACTAATATTGTTTAATATTCTACAATAAAAAAAAACTGCCTTCTACTGTTAACTATTTTAAAATGTAAATTCATTCCTGTGATGGCAATTAGCATATACATTTTCCACAGCAACTTCTCCAGTCTTAAGTGTCACATAATCCTTCTTAAATCATCCATGTGGAAATCACGATACATTTTTTTCAATTCTTTAAATAAATTGAATAAATGTCTTCACTGTCATTACATATTCCGTCAAACCGCTAAGCTTTAATTCAGTTTCTCAGATGCTCAGTCATCATATTAGGTTTGTCTGTCTTAACAAACCTGGACTGGGGTCAATGTTAGCAAGCAATTCGAGGTGAGGTCTCAGCCGGTTGAGATTGGCAGGGTCACCCGTCCTCTGCAGCGCGATGGTCAGCTCCTGCACACTCTGAGCAAACGACGCCGGGGTCTGCAGCTGAAAGACGAACAGTCATATTCCCTTGATTCATTATTCTGAAACAAAATACTACTTCTGGCATTTGAAAGTGCAAACAGACAGCCGTTATACCTTGTCAATGATGGACTGCATGTGAGACTTATGAGACTGGTCTCCATACAGCAGAGAAGACCACTGATCGGGGGCGATGCGGAGGCCTCCCTCCATTGCGATTTGAACAATCTGAGAGTCGTGTTCCCTCCGAAGTGCCTCATATGTGCGGAACTCCTCTTTCAACTGCATTAGCGATGAATCCTCATCTCGCTTAGTCACCTACGATACAGAAGAGATTCGACTGAAACCTCAGAACTGAAGCTGTTAATGTTATTGCAAATAAGCTGTCGAGGTGCTGAAAAAGTTCATTTGCACTTTAAGAACATCAGAATCTAAATAATACCAACAGATCTGGATATGAATTAGAAAACATAATTGCAAAAAAACATCTCATCAGATGAGATCAAGTGCACAATAAAAGGCACCTACCTTGAAGCAGGAGGCACGGTAGAGGAGCTGAACTACATGTCCAATACTGGTTTTGGAGGCCTGAGGAAATCTTGGTTCTAGTCTCTGGACCACAAAGAGGACCAAAACCTTCCTGGAAAGAGCGGATCCATCTTCCAAGGCCAACAGCACCAGCTTTAGTGCCTCCTCCTGCATGGCTGTAGATAAAAAGGGTCACATATAAGACACCAGAAGTTCCACAAGACCAAATTTTGGCGATGACCATTCGTGTTGGTGTGAACAGGATTTAAAGCGTCATCTTACCGGGGCCCAGGAACTGGCAGCCTCTGGCTCTGACAGCAGCCCACAGGTTGGAGGAGAGCTGCTGGGGGTTTTGGTGCTGCAAAATGAGCTCAGTAACAGTTCTTTCGCCCAGAGAACGGGCCGCCCGCATGGCCCTGACCCGTCCTTCCTCTTCCACCAGCTGACAGTGCACCAGAGTCACCAGCTTCCTCTGCATGGGGCGGCTCAGCATGCTCTGAGCAGCATTACTCAACCCCACTCCTAGATTCAGCCAAAAATATGCATCAATCACTTGGCCTTGCCCATTAAACTGGCTTATATAGCATGAAATAAAGCTATTTATTAAATGTATCTTATCAATCATTCTGTGATTTGTCTGAACAGGTTTCATTTAAAAAAATAATTTGCGAGGAGGCATTTTTTAATCATAATATAACTCAATTTTATAGTAAAATGACTGAAACAGTGATGTTTAATTAGTGCTTGTCCGTTGACATTCTAACTGTCAGCAACTATTTCTTTCCCACACCGTGAGTAAGATACAGCATTTCAATTTTATCATTAAATTTAAACAAACTTTTTAAATGTATCATATCTTATGTAATTGTTCAATCAGTGTTTCAACAGCAGAAAGATGATGTCATGTAACATTACTTTTCAATATCTACAGCTCATTAGTTAGCTAGAATATATAACTCTAGAAAGGAGCATTTCGCTAAATATACACTACATTACAAATTCAATGTAATTTCACGTAACCTGTTAGTGATATCTTCATTATTTAATGGAAGTTTGAATAAGGATGTCATGAAAACATGTTTATTACAGCTACACTATAAATGCTTATATTTCAACAATGAATTGGTGTAGAAACGATATATATTATAAAGTTCATATAAAACTGACTAATATGACATTTAAATGTTTGTATAAAACTCAACATTTATTATTTAAATGTTGATTCCTACATTTGATTAACAAACAGATTATTAAATAAACTTTTTTTTTTTGGCTTAATGAAAATTCTGATTTAGAAAAAAATTTTGATTTTCATAAAATTCACTGAATTGCATAACTACTTTTAAGAGCATATGTGAGCATGTCAGTTACCTCGTGCACTGCTGAGGGGTTTGAGGTAGAGGGCCAGCTCCTCAACGCACTGCCGTGCCTCATCATAATGCTTGGTGTCCTCTGGACACGTAATGAGCGCCACAGGTTGCTGTTTGGACACCTGAGAGAAAAAGACAAATTAAATGAAGCACACAGTGAGAGATCTGAAAAACTGTGGTTATGCTTAGGGCTGCGCTATTGAGGGAGATGACCGCACTTCCGCAGCGGTAGAGCACCACCACAATGGCATGATGCCATTGGCGGTGGTGTGCAAAAAATAAAATAATGATCATAATGGAACACAATTGAAGTACAAAGCTTTATTTACAAAAGAAACAACACTTTAGCAACTAATATTGCAAATATGGAAACACTTGGATTTGTGCTGAACGAGGGGTACGTCAGCCCATGAATTTATGTTGGCGCTGAATTGTCTTGTGATCTGGTCACCGGATTTCCCCACAAATGGAAAACTGAACTACACATGGAATCACTCGTTTCTCACAAAACAATCACTCACAAAAAAAAAAAAGACTAAGGGTGAGATGTATTTATTTAGGCTATATAAGTATTTATTAGTAATTTTACTGGTCACAGCGTGTGTTTGTAGGCTTCAAAAATATCTTGTTTTTCACTCTCTCTCTCCTCATATTTGATTTTAACACAGTTGGTATTAATTAGGCAAGGTAAGGAACATTAACTTTATCTGTAGAATGCAATTTACACACACTGTTAATTTAGTTTGTAGATTAAATGTCTTGCTTTTGTGAAAGATAAGATCTCTCTTCCAAACTTTAAATATCATCAGTTGCTTTGGATTATCAGGAAAAATATGAAACCATAAAAGATAGAGAACTGCTTGTTTTCCCCAGCAAAGTGCAGACCGGGTATATACTTTTATCTTGGTTGGGAAACAAACTTAGTTGGCGTAGTTTGGCTGAAACCTCACCAAATTTTTGTGTAATTGTGCTTTCCATGCTCAAGGATGCCATATTGTTTAATTTTAATGTAATTTGCACAGAAAATACTGTATGTATAAGAAAATTCATAGATGTGAGTTACACAATCTGAATGAACGCCTTGGAGACAAGAAACCATGCGATGTTATTTTGGCATCGAGTCTTTAGATCTAGCATTCTGCATGCGTTAAATCAGACACTGGGATGAAGTTTGGAAGGATACCATTTTTTTTATGAATTAAAAACAGAGAGAGAAACTGTGCATGTGAATTTCCTACATCTGTGCAGTTTGCCTCTAATAATACTGAAGTTGCAAGTTTATTTACTTCAAAAACATACAATGTCATTATAGCTTTTAGTATGCTATCAAAGCCATTTTATTAATAAATATCATGTCGGTAGTGTTGACAAAATGTTTCTGTGCTCCTGAATGTTTTTGTGTGTGCGCAGTGTGATCTCAAATCTCTATGAGTGCTTCAATGCAGAACATTATTATAGAATGGTGATTAAACTGACAAAAACTAAACCAAAACACTGCAAAACCACCAGTGGTTGGCCTTTTACCACCACAGTGGTTTAAAAATCACTACTATCAGAGCCCTAGTTATGCTACTCAGTAAACACGGTTGAAATGCCTCACCTGACCCCCGACCAGCTGTAAAAGAGCCGAGTTGACGGGCAGCTGCTCGATGTCAGTATTGATGGCCGTCTGGTCAAAGGGACAAGCCTTGCGGTGCAGCTTGTTGAGGCACATCTTGCAAACGGTGTGGCCGCAACCCAGACTGATGGGCCGACGCACCGTCTCCTCGAACGTCTGGGTGCATATGGGGCACAGTAAAAACTCTGTCCATTGTGGAGCTTGTACAGGCATCGTAGCAAGGTTGTTCTACATGTAAACAAGGGTGGGGGGGTTTCTCTTGGGTGTGCGTGCGACTGGGTGTGTCATTTAACAAAAAGGGAATAATAGATGGAAAAAAGAAAGAAAGATTCCACTGGAATCAAAAAATCTTCTGAACACAGGAGTTCTTAAATAAGTTCACACGTCCCGGGTGATCATCACATGGTGTGAAACCTGAAACCTGGAACAAAAGAGATGCAGTTGATGATTAATCTGACAAATATGGAATTTAGAAAACAGTCTATCTTTAGTAGTGGGTTCACATGATGCACATTATTAACCAACACAATTACACAGTAAAATACAGGAACCAACTGACGCATTGTCAATCAACCACGTCTGGCAGCTGTTGCTACCCAAACAAACAAGAAAACTAACAAAAAGAATATATTATAAGAATTTATTATAAGAATAAATTGTTGAAACCCTACGGAGGCAGAATCATTTCTTAATTTCGGAAAAGCATTTGTGTTGAGCTGATTTTTTGTTGTTTGTTTTTAATGCAAGGGTCAATTTTAAGATTTTGGCCTATTTTGCTTCTTAAAATGTCTTCTTTCAGATTAGTGGAAAGAAAACATCGAGAATACACATTTAATTTTTTATTTCTTTACACTTGATCTATTCGCAGCAGCACTTACTCCAAACTTGACAGTTTCATTGCTGTCTATATTCTAATGGTTTTCAAAAAGAAGTTTGATCATGTAGCCTATAATTTACCTGATTTATAAAACATGTTCCCGGGCAGATATTTTCTAATTTATGGAGTGATAAAAAGAGATTCAAAATCCTCTATGTAAAACCTTTTACTCTGTAAACAAAACGAAAGAAGAATTTTGAACCTTGCTTTATCCAGACTTTCTGTTCTGGTAATGTATGCGAATTAGTGCATATTTAATTAGACAATAGTTAAGTAGCATATTAAAACACAACATTTCAGAAAACTTGTATAATAAATCAGTAGTCTGAAGAAAAAATATGATGGTATTTATTAGTTAAAATTGCTACCCTATTTACCTGTGGTATTTTGCCTCAAGTAAACGGGCTACCCACAGCTAACGTTAACTCGTCTGTCAATAAACTCAACTTCACATAGTTCAAGCAATTTTTAATGTTTAAGCATTACTTTTACTCGTATGTACATGTTTGATAGCAACATGCACAATTAACACCATTTACCTGTTAAAAATAAACCAAACTTGTTAAGTTTAATATTGTTCTCGGCTGTCCATCTCCATTAGCTATCACAATGCTCACTGGCTCCTATCTCTATCTAGACTGCATACGCTAATAGCATACACACGGTCAAATTTTTACAAGGATTGCGAGTATAGACAATGAGTTAAACCGACTCCAAAAGGTGTTTTTTTGCACATTTCCTAATGTATGAGGTGAAACGAGCGTAAATCACACAATAAAGGCGAAATGTGCGAAATATCCGTTTAGGCTAAACCACAAGAGATCCCTCGATTATGTAACACGGCAACCGCTAAACCTGACCAAAACACTAGATTATTATCCACCCCACTGTCAAAACACTTTAGCGGACACATGACATGTGGTAAGAATAGATGCAAATACACAATCACGTGGATTACTGTAAATAGCTATTTTTGTAAGCGGAGGCCCGTGTAAACACAGTATTCAGTTCAGCTCCCTAAGCTACACTGGCCGCCGAATTGCTATTTCAATCGAATACACGGCTGAAATCCAAATTACTGACGAAGACAACGCCAAAATCTGCATATGGCACGAACTAACCACCAAGTAAGCCCCAACCCTAACTGAAAACACAAAAAAATAGCTCAAGCCAAAGCTACACAAGGCTAGCCGGGCGGCTAAATGTTGCAAACGTGCTATCAGATTAGCCGTTAGCAGCCGTGTGCGGTCCACACCCAGAAACGAACACATAATGCACGCAAAATGCGCTACTCTGCAAGCCACAGGCGCAAAATAACAAATGCACACTCACTCACTCACTCACTCATTCTTACTGTGTATCGGCTATCTTCATATTTTCTTAAGAAAACGCTTGATTATTTCCTCGGTCGCCATGTCGACCGTTATAACGGGTTGCCGAAGTAGTTCGGGAGTTCCTCGCGTAAAACTGCCAGCAGCAGCCAGCGGCGGCACTCGAGCTGATCGAGGAACAGAAGAAACTGTTGAGTACCGAGGCGCCTCCTCTGGCGGAGCATCGCGCTGCAGTCGGGCTCATGGTGAAAACACGTGCAGCTATGGAAGCTCAATTCCGCCACACAGAAAAACAGTGCTTTGGTAAAGCATAATTGTGACATAAAGTCAAAAGAATGATACAAAAAGTCGAAATTCTGACGTAATTAGTCATATTTCTGAGATTATAAATGGAAACTATGACATAAAACGTCAATTGTGAGATGAAAGCCAAAATTAGGCTATGACATAAAAATGATGACATAGGAAGTAATGTTTATGAAATGAAAAGTGAAGATTATGATATAAAAAGACAAAATGATTACATACTAACCCAAATGTATTACATAAAAAGTGGAAATTTATGACATAAAAAGTCATAAGCACATAAATGTCATTTATAAAATGAAACAGAATTGTAATATAATTAATTTAAAAAAAGCAAAATGATGACATTAAAGGTCATATTAGATAAAAAGACAAAATTCTGCGTCATAATTCTGATATGTCATGTTTAAAAGACAAAAGTTAAGACATCAAAAGTCACAATTATGACAAACAGATGAAATTATGAGATATTAAGTCATATTTATGAGATAAAAAATAAATTATAAGATAAAAGTCAAAATTATAAGTCATAATTATGACATAAAAAGTATCAACTTTTTACTTCTTAATTCTGACTTTTTATGTCATCGTATACTTTTATGTCATAATTATGATTTTCTAAAGCATTTTTTTCCTAATAAATGGGCTTCCAATATGAAACATTTGCTCAACAACAGCACATATAATTATTTTTCACAACAAGCCAAATTTCAGTACGAAAATAAGCACAAAAATTTAAATGAAAGGGAAAAATTATAAACCAAACGGAAACATACAGAAACGTATAAATGCATTAACAATTTTTGGAATTTTTAATATTAATAGTTAACATTTATATTGGAATTTAACAAATTTGGAAAATGTTTTATGTAAAAAATGCCATTATTTTTCACCTAAATATAGGCCTGTATCTAGTTTACATTACAAATTCTGTCATTACATTACAAGTTCTGGTCTAATTGTCTAACATGTTCTGTGCTTTTTATATGTATTTAAGCATTTAAGTGTTAAATATTAATTTAAATACTAAATATTGAAGCTTGAAATATGGTGCAGTGAATGCTACTTTCAATTTGACAGATTATTGTTTTGGATGGCATATGTAGTATTGTATGCAAATGGCATAAGAGGGAGTGCAAATAGGGAGTGAGTTTTGTATCTCTGTGTTACAGACATTAAAATATAATACAGCCTCATGAATATTATGATCATAAAACAATCATCTAGGACATAGTATTTTTGTTTTTTGTATTTGTCAATACTGGAAAATGTTCAAGTTTCCCAGGCAGATTATCTTTTTGTACAATTGCAATCACTAGCATCTGTCAAAATACTTGATCTATCACATGTGACCGTTACATATGAGTGCACTTTTTAAATAACATTTCTGTGAATTGTACCAACTTATGCAATGAAATGCTGCAGTTGACATCAAAGGAATTAAAGTACGCATTTATTTTCCATTTTTGTCTAATCCGTCTGATTTCTGTGGGGATTAACAGACCAATCATGAATATTGAGTGAGCGCTCATAAGTTAGAGATGGAATCTACCACCAGTGGATGCGCAGTGATCGGTGCTGGTGACAGCTGAACGAAGAGGAGCATCATGGGAGTAATTCCTCATATCAGCAGTTAGCATTTGTTGTTGGTTTCGGCCATTGAAGTATTACTGGGCAAGGAGAGACAGGAATGATTCTGCATGTTGGGTCAGTGCGATTTATTCAACTGAACCTGTGAAATGTAACAGACTCGAATGGACCATCAGTGAAAGTAAGGTAAGATATCATACAGTATATAATATTATATCATGTATTAGGTCAATATTATGTCATAATAATGTAATGACATTGATGTTGATGTGTGTGTGTGTTATAATTATAAATTCTTCATCACAGTTTGTATCACAACAAATATTTATTTTAAACAATATTTCATAAATCTTATTTACCTGCATCCTTCTCTATATCATCTCTGTCATGGTTAACCTAAACCTATGCAGAAAGTATACAATATTTTACTTCTAATAACTTAATTTTAGGTACTAATACATACAAACTGTAGATCTGTCTATACTTACAGTTCAGAAACCTGTGTCAGTAAATTTTGAGATCAGTTTTCTATGAGGGACTGATAAGTCAGTATTGTAACAGTCAATTCACTATACATCCATTGTGATATATTTTTCATCATCTTCAACAGTGTAACCTTGTCATGAACTTATCTTCATTTTAGATCTCTTGTTGTGGATAATCTAACACGATGAAAGTATTGGTATTATGCAAACTCTTACATAGTTTGTTGTGCGTAAGAGGGATTCAAGAATATTTAATCTACTAACATGGAATCCATAAACAGCGGCTCTGCAAAACCTTCCTCTTCATCTGGTTTAAATTTGTGTCTGGCTTTTTTTTTCTCTTTAAAGTGTGCAAAATGGATGAGGAGACAGAGGATCTCTCTGAGACACAACCACTAAGAAGTCTGGCTGACCAAAGTGCTGAGCTACTAGATGATCCTCAAAGTGGACCCTCCATCAATATATTAAAATCCAAAGCATCTCTCCCCTCCTGCTCCCCTGCCCCGGGTTCGGCAGTTTCTGCCCTGCAATCCAAAGTCAAAGCAGTGTCCCAGAGAAAGTTAAAGGGGACGGAGCGAGATGATCTATTACCAGAGGGTTCTGCAGAAGAATCAGTGAAGAAAAATCAAGACGATGAAGCACTGTCTACTTGTCAAACAGAATACACTGAGCAGAGCAATAAGCCAAACACTGGCGATAAAGACGTGTTGGAACCCAACTCTGGGATGCAAGGAGAAAAAGAGACTTGCAACAAAAATGGGAAAGACAGCACATCTCAAGGTGCACCAGAAATGTCCTGTGGGCTTGGTGAAGGGTCTAGCCTGGAGAACATTGCAGTGGGTGTAGCTTGTGAGCCTCAAGGAGACATCGCAATGAAGTCAACGACGTCTTCTCCCAGGCACTGGGCTCCTCCCAAGGGCTTTTGGCGAGTGGCACGACCAGAAACGTTACTTCTTAATTCAGAGAGTTCTTCCACACTGGCGACTCCAAAGGATGTGCCACCCACAACTGAGGAGGGTCCGAAACGGAAGCCAAAACTAAAGACTGTGGGTGTTGTTCACAAGGAGCTGCAAAGGTCTGACAGCTTGGAAAGTGCTTTTTGTAAGTGTCTCCAGAAGGAGATTGCAACAGCAGATCCAGTTGGTGGGCTGTGGAAGGCAGACAGTTGGGAGACTGTGTGCTCCAGGGGAGAGTATTTGTCTATTGCAGAGAAAGTCGAGATGAACAAGACAGACCTGAACAAATACCAAGTTGATGCTATTGAGATCAATACTTCCATGCATCCAGAGGGACAGTATCAACCACCAAAGGAGCCACACAGAGGTAATGCCTTAGATTAAAGGGATAGTTCACCCAAGAATGAACTTTGTTTCTTATGTGGAACACAAAAGAAGATATTTAAAAAAAATCTCTTAAAGTGAATGGTGTCCAATCTTGTTTGGATCCCAGCGTTCTTCAACATATCTGTTTGTGTTCGTTTAATTACCTTGTGCAGTTTTTCACTGTATTTATGATTTAACCAGCATTAATCACCCATGGGTCACTGAGCCAAAACTCACAGCAGGGAGGTTGGTATGATCTCTCAGAACAGATGTGGCTGCCTGTCACCGTAATTACAGATGAGGGGGAAGGATTTGGGAGAAAGTGGAGCAGTGGAGATAACAGTGTTTTAATACCGCATGACGTAGGGATAGATAGGCTGAAATCTGCCAGCTTGGTTTTCTGGAGTGTTGTGTAACAGCAGGACTACAGGATATTGGTTCAGTGGGTTTGTACTATTCTTCCACTTGCACGTAGTATCCTGTTGAAAGGAATGATCAGATGTTGAATCTGGTCTTGTAGCGGATGGCCGTTGCGGACTCATTGGAATTATAACACATACTAAATGGGTTTGAGTTCATTATTCTACAACAGTATGTGTTTTTGTACAGATTTACCTCCCTACAAAGTAGGTGAATGGGACTCAGCAATCATCACAAAGGACCCTGTGTTTAACTATAGGTAAGACACATTGTCCTCAAACAAGCACATTATTGAATACGGTTGTTCATTTGCACTCAGCTGTGGTAGACCTCTGTCAGAATACAAATCCATGTGAAAGACACACATCTCTTCATTTAAAGATTAGGGCTTGCACATAACATGCCCATGAAAGAGATTACATAAGACAGATTTAAGCTTCTGACATTCTGTATGTTCATTTCGGATTTGTGGGAAGTATGGTGCAAGTTCATCATATTGACAGTCTAATGTTCATGGAAATAATAGGGAGTAAGCCTTTTTTAAATGGCTGTTGAGACATGAAAACATTTGACAAAATCGTTCATAGCATTTTGAATAATCATTACACTTACTCAGGAGAGTGTAAAATGTATTTTCTGCTTTGGACAGACCGCTGATCTCCACTGCTGAAGTAACTCTTAGTCCACGTCATGAACAAGCAAAGCGTCTGTTGGAACGAGCTCGATTCAAAGCACGTTCTCAAAACCCTAAGAGTGAAACCCCCACCTGCCTTGGTCAAAGAGAGGACCTGTAAGTCACCTCAACACTTTCTACTGCCTTCTTGTTGTTGTCTCGCATCATGGTTGTCTTTTTAAAAGTCATCTACTACTAACTTTTTTTACTGTGAACAAACCAAAGCAATCCCCTCTAAAGTCATGACCCATATCCAAAGATTCACAGAAATATTTATTTAAGCAATTCATTCAGAGTTGTCATCCTGTGTTATATAATCACGTGTACTGCATAGAACACATATTTGGCAAGCATTATTATTAATCCTGTCAC